TCCAAAAATTAATCAGTTGATTAATCTTTGGAAAACGATACCAAGCTGAGAACTACGCTAATAGTTAATTAGTTATTGAATGGCAAGGGTCTTATTCTTTTTTTAAAGCCTAATTGCTCATTTCAAATCTTAGTTTAAAGTCTTAATTTTGAATCTTAGTTTTATGTTAGACTATTAATTTTAAACATTATAGTTAAGCTTTAATTCTATGTCGCGTCATTTGTTTGTAGCCTTAGTTTTAGTATATTTGTGAAGATCGAGCACGAAATACTATTCTTCGTTACGATTATAAAATATCTTGTCTTATATTTTATTTGTAATTTTATACAAGACTTCAATTTCAATTCAATTCAGTGCTATACTATACTTTTAATTATTTAAGAGCTACTGCGCTCTGAAAAATATCACTACTATTATTACGAAACAAATGCTGACTTTACTGGTCGCATTGCACGCGACCACAAATATTCTCTGAAAATAAAGTTGTTAGTTGGGGATGGAAGCAGAAAAAAAAATAAACTTTCCTTTTCCACCCTGTCGAGCGTTTGTTTACAAATGTACTGGTGTTCCTATAAAGCTATGAACATAGATGTCTATTATTCTTATTTTTCGAAGTATCATAGCCAATATTAACAGATTGAAATATGTATCTAAAATTGATATCAATAAATGTAAAACATTATATATGAATATTGTAAAATATCTCAAAATAGCATTCAATTATTAAATATTAGAAAATATTATAAATGCAATATAATTGATTTAATGCTAAATCTAACAAAATTTGGTGTATTTGGTTTAAAATACAAAATTTATTTAAAAAGTCTAAGTTGTTTAACTACTTAGAGCGCTAATTTAGAATATATATTAAAAGAAAGAAATAATTCGATCAATTTATGTGAAATAAGAATGATATACTATTCAAACTAACGAAATAATTTCTCTAGTCTTTTCTAATTTGGTCTTAGCATTCTCAAAGAAGAACAAAATTTTTTATTATATTATCGTACGTATCAAATATGTATATAATATTATATAATATTACCCAATATTTTAATATATATATATAATAATCCCAATAATTTAATTATATATATATAATAACCCAATAATTTAATATATATATATAATAATCCAATAAAATAACAATATAAACGTATATATAAGACTGCTTTTATCAAAATGAATGAAACATTACCAAATTTCTATCAGAAACCACCAAATCGACTGTCAATCATTATGGCGTCACTTTTTGAATTCTTACAGAATAGGGATCTTTCCCGCCATTAACCAATATCTGCACACAAGAAAATCGACAATTTCAAACAAATATATAAAATCAGAATCAATTACATATATTGAAATTAAACGATAACATATTTCAAAATCTGTCCCAAAAAAAGCACATAATATAAGCTATCAGTAACTGTAATGATCAAATACATGATCAAAGGAAACTGAAGAAAGTAGTACTTAAATTAATTAATTTTGTTATAATAATGTTCAATAGATTAATAGATGAACTTGTGTTAATGATACAAACCTAATAGTAGTGAATAAAGGTTACAGAATTGGAATGTGGAAATATAACGCTGCTATAACAGGTTACACACTTCACACAAATTAATAAGTATTGACACTCCGATTTTCGACAAGCAAATGACTCCCCGCGCCTCAGTTTGACCACTCAATTTCGATGCGGGGAGAGGAAGCATCGCCCGGCGGCAAATTGAGCGTGTTTGAATCAGTGAATTCTCATTGGCTCTACATTATGTATTGTTTGTAGGAAATACGGTCTCAGCGAATCAGACTCATTAAAATTTAATTACATATAATTAAACTTAATTATGTTTAAAAGTTTAAAAGTTAAAAAATTAAAAGTTTTATAATAAAATAAGTAGTATAATAAAATTATAATTAATAAAATTAAAATTAAAATTATAAATATAATACAATATAATTATAATCAAGTATAGTAAAATCTCAAAAAATTTGTTATTTTATATGAAAATAATTTACATAATTTCCCTCAAAACGGAATTGATATTGTAATTTTTATTTTACACAATACAAAACATTCTTTGTCATGGTCATTCACTCGGTAAGTCACTCTAATCAACTTAATATCTATTATATAGCTACTTATTTATAAATAAATATTTCGAATAAATTAAATATTAAAAATATATAAATGACACTTGTGTATATAAAATGATGCTTTATTTTATTTGTTTTGTATCTTTTTTAATAAACAAATATAATAAAAGGAAAAATGATTAATGTTAAATTGGTATTAAATTATTGTTCTGCAACAACATGTTCTGGCACAACTTTTGCTACTTTCCTGAATTCTTTTCGCAATGTTTTAGGACATTGCATTTGTGTCCAATTAATGGGTATCATAGCTACACCTGTAACACGAAGATTATTAAGAACAGAAAATAATTTTACCCTGATTTACTTACCTTCCTCACTATGTGCTATCACTACACCTAATTCATTTTCTGCTGTACTTAGTTGATAAGTATGTGCTTCTGTCATTGGCATCTAATTAATGCATAGGAAATTATTCAAAATTTTATCAACAATAACATATTTTTTTTACAAACGAGCTCAAGGATACAACTCTTGCAAGAATAATATCTCCAGGTCTAAAGCACTTATACATTTGAATATTATCTTTATCTATTGCACGAACATCTTCTTTCCTTAAAATTCCTCTGTAAGGTCTTGTCAATACAATGTCACCTATACATTTTATACTACATTTACAAAATCTTTGATTAACAATAGTAACCATAGCTGTTACAATATCACCAGGTGCAGGAACAATGCTTTGCTCTGTTATTCCATGGACTTCTATGGTACGAGTCTAAAATTTAATATATCATTATTATTATCATTAAAAGTAATTATTTAATATTTAATATATGAAATTTATATAATAAATCTCAATGTTGAACAATATTTAATGTAATTAATAATTAACAATTACAATAAAGATATTTCATAATGAAACATAGTTTGACTAATATCCAACAATGTCTAATCTGTATTGCTATTTAAATCATTTTAATTCCTTACTCACATTTTCTTTTTGTATTAATTTTACTACACCAACTAATTTCGAATAGATATAGCCTTGTTGCTCATAAGTTCCTGGTCCAGCAATATTAAATTTGTCGGAGATACATAACCTCTGTCCTATAGAAAAATATTCCATTTTTATTCTTTAACCATATAATTTTCTCACTTATGTTGGACATATAATTACCTGGCACGCATACGATAATGTCTTTATCTTTATCCATATTGTTATAAGATTAAAACGAATTTATTTCGTACATGTAATGTGCCAATGAAGTAATAAACATAGCTTGTAAACAGTTTGGGTGTTATATACAATTTAATGTAAAATATACTATTATTAGCTGGTAGTTACTAATAAATTATGATCTTTAAGGATAAATTTGCATTAAAAATGTTTGATATATTTTATACTTTTCTACTTAAAAAGCTAATATTTAAAAAAATAACCTTTTATGTTATCTTAAATTTGTGAATTCGATTCTGTTTCCCCTAGATTTTGATCACGTGAATTTATTTACTTCTTCTAATTTGTTAGAACACTCGTTGACTCGTTGAACAAAGAATAAATTTAATAAACAGAAAAATATGATATTTCAAAAAATTGATATTTATAATCACAGATGAGGTTTTAATGGCCAGAATTATAGGTGTATCCCGTTTGTGTAGAAACGAAGAAATAAATTTGTAAATTAATGTTAACATTTAAATTCAAGGAAGATGTGTGAAAATAATTTATAAAGCCTTTGTGTTTCCACAACTCAACCATATCAACTCTGAAATTTATTAATTGGAAAATGGCTGATGAACGAAATTTTCGCTCGTCTTATTATGAAAAAGTATGCATTTTTACGTGAAATATTTGTATTAGTAACATTTCTTATCGCTTAGGTTATAAATAATAGAACACTAATTATGAATGTGATTAATCAAGTATATGATCAAAATATAGGTGGGATTTCGTAGTGTCGAAGAAAAAAGGTCTTTAGAAATATTACTTAAAGAGCGTCCTTTGGATAAAGCAAAACTGAAACAATTCTGCTTGCGATTTACAGTTCCTACTAAATATAGAAATTTTCTTTGGAAAGTATTATTGGATGTGATACCAATTTATATAGATAGCCATAAATTTATAATAAGTCAAAGAAAAGCAGAATTTCAAGATCTACAAAAAGCTTTAAAGGTTACGAAGATTTTGGATGATTATACAAAACCTCATTTAATGCTCCTTACTATGTGGTTATTGCGCACTAGAAGAGCAAAACTTGACATGAATACTCAATTAGAAGTTCCCTTACACAGGTATCAACATTGGTCTCATGTTTTATTAAATGTAGCTATTAATTATAATCTATTAAATTATTGTCTCATTGATAATTATATTTTCTTTAGAGCTATGAACAGATTGGCTGAAACATTATGGCACATTGTTGACATAGATTCATATGAGGAAAAGTTAGTAGACACATATTGGATATTATGTGGACTTTTAGATCAAGTACAAAAATTTCATAAAGAAATCAGTAGATTACAAGAATGCACTTATACTTTGTTAGAGAGAGAAGATCCAGAATTGTACAAGCATCTTATTAAAATAGAAGCACTTTACAATATTCCATATGACATTTGGTTTTCTTCATGCTTTGCAGGAACAATATCTAATGGTTCTATAGCAAAGTATATATATTTAATATACTTTAAATAAAAAATAAGATATATAATTGTAAAAAATGATCTATTTATTACAGAATATGGGATAAAATAGCTGTAGGTGCATATAGAACTTTAATCTTTGTCACTGTAGTTACCCTAACAACTTTAAGAAGACTTTTATTGAGATGTGAAAATATAGATGGTATTTTAGATACTATTGCCAATGTATGGAAATATCTATATATGTTTATTTATACGAGTATGAATTATAATAATTGTTTATAAGCAAATATTTTTATTCTAGATAACAGAAGAAACATCTGAAGTAATTGTTAACAAAGCAATTGAATCTTGGCAACAGAGTGGTTCAACACTGACAACTATTTCATAAACTATTTAAGAAATTAAAACCTTCCTCTTATGAACAAAATTGTATCAAAACAATTATATTATAAATTACAAAGTATAAAGTAACTTTTAACTTTAACCATTAATTTTTTCAAATATAAATATTTGTATACCTATAGAACATGTTTCCTTATATTTTAAAAATAATTATTTTATTAATGCATCCATCATACATTGTACATATACAATTACTTACTTTATTGAGGTGTTAAGTCTTAAACTAGACTTTGTTTTTTATACTGTGACTCTTTTGTTTGTTTTGCAATGTTATATTACAACAGTGTTGATGTACTTCTGTGTGTAAGAGTTTAATAAATAACTTTCAAATCAAGCAGAAATATAAAATTATTGCATGTTATACTTGTATTCTCCAAGAAATTTAACACAAATAAGTTATCATATATCCTCAAAATTTGTTTTATATATTTTTTTATTATTGGATATAATAATCTTGTCATATATATTTATATTGTGCAGTTGTAATGGAATTTTATTCCACGACTTACCTTAACAAAGAGATATAAAAAGATATGTATAACACTTTCTCAATACCAAAGTAATTTCAAAGAACAGAATAGTACTGATGGGGTTAAGATTTCATATGAATGGATTAGCCCTTCTTTCGAATTTTTACAAAAGAAACCATATATGATGATTTATTTACATCTTTCCTGATTTAAAAAATAGCATTCTTGGAGAAAAGTGAGATCATACAAAATTTTATTTTTCGCTCACGCATTGCATCATAATTTCATGAGTTCCTACTGTTTTCTAATATTACAACTCTTGAATAGGATGTCTGCTACTAAGTCGTTCTTTGGTTTTCGATGGGATTTGAGCATCCTCTTTTATCGTGAATTATCTCGTAACGAATGACAGTTATAATTTCATATATACTGAACAAAATTATGAACAATAAAGCTAATTTCATTTCGAATATGTCGAAGTAGTCTTACATTTGTTATAAAACAAACATAGTATTATGCAAATTTTAACGCAACATCGAAATTTATTCTAATGTTGATTTCAAATTCAGAGAGTTATGTGGACTATGGCAATGCACATATAATTCCGCAGACACTAATTCTTTCAAATTACAAGTAAAATGCACAAATACACTACACTATTGTATTTTGTTAACATCAATGACTCCAATTTATAACATGCACATTTTAACGTTTGAGTAACGCCGTCAGCATTCGACTAATAATGTTCATAACACTCTTGATCAAAACCTACCATTGCCTTCAAATGGCAAAGTATAATTTCATATAAATTGTTCTTTTTCTTTCTGATTAAGGCCATTGAATTCATTCTGTTGATGTCTAATTATTAAAATAAATATTTATGCAAAAAAGATAGTTAACGTACTTTACAAACATCAGCTAACTCTTACTAGGTATTATATGCGATTGGAAACTTATTCCCTATTTCAACTACGTAAAAGTTTCATTTACAACGTCTTTCCATTTTTTTCGCGACTATTGCACTCTTCTTTCTTCGTTAATTCAAAGGTATGCTTAAAACAAAGGAATGCATGAAAAATGAGACAAAGTACATCCGCAAATAAATAAGATTTTGTTTTCCAAAGACGATTCACAAAAATGTCAGAAAATATCCCAAACTGAAAATTTATAATGCTGGTGATCAAAGTAACAGGTGCTCTTGCATAAATGATACAAAATTGTTGCCCCTCTTATGTGATCCTAATAAGCGATGAATAACATACATTATAAAAAAAGTTTTTACACAAAAAGTTATAGAGTTTTTACGTTATAAGTCTAGTAAAAATACTGGTTACAACTTTCATTCGTTTTATCGTTTTATGCATTGGCAAGCTACACAAACCAGGAGTCACTGATAAATGAATCAGAATGAATGAATGAGGTGTCCGGTACTTGGTATAAGATAATATTACAATCTCCTTTTTTTTTTAAATGTAAAATTTTAACTTTTTATATAACAAAATATACCTAAAACGATCGAACTTAATGTTTAGCTCAACCTAAATGTCATTAAAACAGCACTGCTTGTAAAATTTTTCGTAACCTAAACATTAAGTGGATTGATAATCCTAAGATAACCTCAGTTATTGACTTAAAGATATAATATAATACAATATAGACAGCTTTTTTAAAGTCCTTGTGTAGTAGGTGCACTTGATAGTAACCGTTTCTCTAAAGATAGAGTTTTATCACAAAGGTACGTGTCCCTCTTCTTTCTTGTAGCTCGTCTTTGTTTTTACAATAGCTATAGAGCAGCAGAGTTGCAATTGTCGACTAGAGGTGACAGCGGCCCTATTTTTCCTTTCCCGCTTCCCAATTTGTCTCCCTCATAATGTACATCCAAGGATAAACCTTAAATCATAGCAAAACTTAATATAACCATGTATATATAAACGTGTGCACACACGTGTGTATAACATACAAGACATTTTTTATGAGTTACATATGTGTTATATAAAATATAGATGTATTTTAATTATATTAATAGCTAAGATAATAATTTCCGGATATGCGATCACATTGTTTATATGTTAAGCGTAATGTTAATGAAAGATTTAAGTCTTGTTGGTGATAAACAGCTAGTAAAGAACAAAATCTATTAAAGAGAAAATCCAATCTTAATAAATTAATTACGAGCAAATCCATTTCCCGGTTGCTTATCCGAAGATTACTATGGTATCCCTTTTTATAAAATTAATATACGATCTTCATATTTTACTGTACCATCGTTCGGCTACTATTGTTATCCAAATTGACTTACAATAAAATCCACCACCAAAAATACATCTGAATTTTAACATAACTGACAACCTTTAACGTACATTTCTGATATGCGTATTTACCGGAGAGCCTCCGGGAGGTGGATGGATGATGTAATGGACCAGTTGGCATTGTGTTTGATTCAGGTATAAATGCAGCTACTAGTAATGCACATATCACAAGTAATGCACCAAACACAAATGGTGGTCCTGGTACAAGCTGAAAATATAGATTTTGTTGCAGTACTCATATCAATTTAACTATAATCATATCTTAACTTTTAATCAAATCTACCTGGGTTACTATTTGTGGCATAATATCAAGATGTTGCGTGGCAGTTCCTGTTTTATTATTTTCATCTAATGGAGATGGCCTTGCAGGAAGGGAAGGAGAATTGTCGTTGAGATCAACGCGGAAAAGATAAAAGATTACTCCAAACATTGCTGGCCCTAGACCATTACATAATCCACGCATTCCGGTTACCATGCCTTGTACCAAACCTTGTTTATCTGCATCAGAATGCATGGATATAAACGCAGAGATTGCAGGATATGTAATACTTGACACAGCAGCAAGCACTCCAGCTGCCCACATCATCCTTAAAATTACAGAAATATCTAATAGAATTCATAAAATTCTATTTTTATTAAAACCAAGTTATAATAGAATATAAGTAATGTCTTACTGAAACTTTACTTCACAAATTAAAAGTTTGTAAGCATGAACAAGAAAAAATTACCATGTTTGTGAACCGAAGCCAAACCACATGAGTTGTAACATCTCAAATAGAAGACCCAACATTATAGTATGTTTACTGCCAAGTGTCTTTATCAAAACGCCCAAGAGAGTTTGAGCGCCAACGCTTAAAATTCCAACCACAGCAATAAAAAATGCTACCATTAAAGCAGTAAATCCCATAACCTTAGTCAAGTAGACAAATATACAACTATACTGTCCTGCTTCAGGAAGATAGCTCAGGAACACAGTAATACACAACATTAAAATAGTGTAATCTTTGCCAACCTAAAATATCAAAATTATATTAATATTTTAATTTTAATTAATTTAAACATTCTATTTAGAATAGAATACAAAAACTTCTAAAATAGTGAAAATATCTATTTTTAACATAAATTCAGTAATTTGGGTCTTTTATATATGATATTTCAAATTACTTTTCCAAGATAAGCAAAGGGGTCTGCCTGCTCCCAAGAAATAGGTGCTGGTGGACGAGCTTTTTCAGGCAAACTTTCAGGTACAGCCACTAATATAAAAAACACATCCAACACTGCAATAGCTGTTGCTAATGCAACCACAAGATTTTCTCCATACACTTTCATGACATAATCTCCCAATGCTGGGCTTATTACCATACTTGCAGCAAAAGTTGCAGATACCTAATAAAGTAAATTTATGAAGAAAACGGTACAAAATACTATAAATTATATAATAAATTTTGCAATAAAATACTTACTAAACCATATGCCGGAGATCTTTGATGTTCCTCAGTAACATCAGCAACATATGCAAACACCACTGAAAATGTGCAAGCAAAGACACCACTGATGGAGATCATAGCAAAGAACCACCATGTATTAATGCTCATTAGAGGAATCGGTGCACATGTGAAGGCTACTGTGATGAGTAGAAAGAATTTTCGACCCCATACATCAGACAAGGCACCAAGTAATGGTGCAGAAAGAAATGATAAGATTCCTTTAATGCCCATTATCAAACCATTCATCAGGAACGTATGATTTGGAAATGTAATATTTAATACAGAAATAACAGGCATGGTTAATAAACCCCATGCAAAAAATTCCAAAAATATTACAACCAGAGCATGGTACACACTTGCCTCTCCTATACCGGAACTCTGTAAAACAAAAATAATAAAATATATAAATATTCTTTATATGCAAAATATGTGTATACTACTAATGTATGTATACACAGTTCATAAGCAGCCATGATATCTATTTGCTATACCCAATAAATATGAAACAATAAAAAGATCATTTTTACAAAAGTACAATATCAAAAGTTTCTTTGGATTTATCAAAAAGTATAAGCACTTTGCAAATTGTGACAGCTGACCTTAAGATGTCTGTAGCATTGCTGAGCAAATGTAAGAGAAGGTGTGAGTTTAGCAATAGCATGTTCTTGGCTGTTGTGAATTTCAGAACAGGAGGGGCCCAGGCCCTCTGCTCCACCTTTTGCCCCAGGGGGCATGACCCCTAAGAAGTGTTACTATATATATTTCTTTCCATACTTATGATTCTATCAATATTTCATTTATCAGTTGTTCAGATCCATATAATACTGTAATGAATAACCTTGACTTAGCATCATATCAATTTTTTATTTCCAAATATTCAACCTAATCTTCACGAGTAGTTATTTATTATTATTGAGTTCTTTTTTAATTACATTTATGTGTTAATTCTAATTGAAAGCTCTATTTTTATTGCATTTCCTTGTAAATATCTTTTTAATATATTTAGTTTTAAATTCTACGTATATATATTTTGTTATATCACAAATATCATTTTGTCTAGTAAGATACAATCTTTGCATGTTCCTATGGTTTGTATAGAGATTGTATTATCCTCAATTATATACATATAAAATAATTGAGTTATTAATTGCAACAAGCTTCTTTCTTATTTTTATTAATACTAATCTGTTATTATCATAATTTGTGCCATTAACAAAAAGTTAAAAACTATATTAGAAATACATAGTGTGACCTATTCACTATTATAACTTGATCTTCATCATTTAAACAATTTTACAAATATTCTTTAGTATCATTACTTTTATTTTTGGTCAATTTTATGTATTTTTTCCCATCCACACAAAGTGTACTTTTCTTTGTTTCTCTTTTTACATTTCTCAGCAATATAAAGACACAAAATTCCTTATGTACATAAAATATTGTGCTAAAATCATTAACATTGAACAAAATATCTGTGTATGACCATCTTAAAAATATACTCTTCTATCTGTATACAGGATTTTCAAAACATTCGGATTCTCTTATCACATATTGTAGTCTGTAGCTATTAAGGGCAGCTGGTTTAAAAAGCACTACATTGTTGACAGATTAAATTTCTTAAAATCTCCGGGATTTCTTTCTTTTTATGTAGTATCATTTAAACATTTCTTCTTAAACTGTTCTCCTCTTTTAGGAAAAACTGTCATGTTTTCGTCAAACATGATCCGGTTTGTTATTTGACAATAGTGCGACGAAGTTTTTCATAATAAAACTATCACTCAGCATAATGTCATGCGATTTTTGTATCATCGGGAGCTGTCACACAAAATATTCATCGACATTCCAACTTTTCGTAAAACTTGTACAAGTCACAGTATTATATTAAAGTGCATTAAAAAATGGTATGATCGGTAATAAAGACTGACAGATCGAGGTGGAGTAATTCGTCCCGTATTTAATATTTCTTGGTACTATAAGTTATTGTCAACACCTCTTCACTTAAGATTCTTGAAACCACATATCTATTTAATAATTTCCTGATCTTTTTACTGTCCACTCTTATATTTTTCAATAGAATTATTAGAAATTTTTTGAAGAAAAACCTGAATCACTGCATTGCAACTCTTCCACCAAACCCCCCACTTTTTATCATAGTAGCTGTTCTTTCGTCATAGCTTTAGATTGAATCTAACCTAAAAACTTAGTAACGAACCGATAATTCGTTCGTCGTATGTTCATAATAATACACTTGGAAACAAAAAACGGTCCAACTTTGAAAAATTTTACATAATCTTTTTCTCATTACTCGTTTCGTGTACGAAAAGCTTAGTTGTTCTTATCAACTTATTACTGGCAGCTGATCAATATGCGCAAGTACGATATTATTCGAAGGACCTGTACATATATAATAATACTCTAATAAAAAGAAACTAACAATTTAATTCAATTCTAATTTATTAGAATTTAAGGCAGAAATATTGCAAACCAAGATAAAATACATTTATTTTCACAAACATGCGCTTTATGTTTTCCTTGAAAAATCATGATCATAATGATATGTTGCATTTTAATAGTTTGAAGTTTTATTATTTCAATAACTACAGTGTATTAAAAACATAAAACATTTTCCTATATTCATTTAAGATATATATTTCTAGTGTAAAGCATAAAGAATTTATAGGTTATTATATTGTTTGTACAAGTATATTTATTTTGAAATTAAACATTTAATCGTTTATTCCTTTGTACTGTGTATTTCATAATATTGAAATATATTTTTGACTTAATACTTTATCATAAACAGTAACAACAATATATCAAATATAAAATAAAAGCATTATATTATAATAGTTTTTCATAAACTATGCAGGATATAATTTATCCTTTTTGTATTATAAAAGATAGCAATGAAGCTTCTATTTTAGCTAATTCTAATTAGTCACGAAAAGAAATTAATCAAAAGCAATAAAAAAAAAAAAAAATAGAAAATTGGTATAATTTAAATAAAATTAATTTTACAATTATAAAATAATGTTCTAAATAAAATGTAGTATATTTGAAAGAATTGTAGTACTATTATATATTTCATACCAGAAAAACATTGTAAGCTACATTAGGAAATTAACAAATGAAACAAAGAAGCTGGTTGCAGGTTCTAAGTACTTCATTAATTATAAAGTACTAGAAATGAACAGAAGATTAAATAGTTTAGTATACATTATATTTAACTGTTAACAAGATTATTATTGATATTACCATATATTACAATTAGCATCTTCCTGACCAGTTAAGAAACAAAAATCATAAGAGATACAGGATTGAAATAAAGGCATACAAAGTTTCATTGTACTTTGAAGAAAAATTCAAAACTATCTATGAAAAACGTGTCAATTGTATTTTATAACAATCCTCTATGTGAAAATGAATTTTACTAATATGTAATGTATAAAGAATGAAGATTCAGCCATGTGTCAGTGTTATAATTACAATGCAATTACGCTAAAACTCACATAACTTTCGTACCTATTGCTTCTGAGAATAAGTTGAATGAGTCGAAGTCGCGCTTTGAGAAACATTTTAATCATTAAATCCACTATTATCACACTACTTGGTAAAAGATAAACACAAAGTAAATTTATCGTTAAGAGTTTGTCATGCACCGAAACGAAAACGTACTTACTTCCGATGCGAAATCATCGAAAACATATATAGAAAAAGATGAAGGTGTAACTTAAAAATCTAGTAGGTATTAAACTGAATGTGTTCAGTACCGTAATGACCCCATCCTTAATAATGAATTTTCGGCTTCGTACGATCATGCCCACGACCTTCTTTGAGACCTTGGCGGGCATATTCACGCACTGCGCGCACAGACTCTTCCGTTTTTTCAATTTCATTAATTCCTAAAAATTCGATGACACTGTGCGAGTCATTTTTTCTGGTTAAAGCCTCACACGGACACAAACAAGCGTTATAAGCTTTTAAGTCGGCCTTTGTAATCGTATTCTACATAATGCTACAAACCACAGTTAACCATGTCCGCAGACTACTACAGACTACATCAGGCAAATGCAGTATGTTCTAGAATGAATATAGAATCGAAAGTGTAGCATAGAAATTGCGCGCGACAATGGTGCTACCTAGCAGTGACACAAGAAAATCTTCTCAATACATTCCCATCTAAATAAATATCAAGTTTCGGGTTGCATATTAATGCATAGTCTCGTATCGAGATTAATGCGTGTGAAAAAATAAAAGTTGCTCGATGCTCGACGAAAATGTTTTCATCAATTTTAACGTGTCTTTATGTCATACAAATTTCATAGAAGTCTGAATTGAAACAATTTTACCATCTGTGGAGGATTCGTTCTGAATATCATATATACAGTAGTAGTGTACTCTCATGTGTGCATCACTATTCCTACACTAATTAGATACGTATTTTCCTGTACGTAAATTATACTTAATTCTTTAGTTATTTTAGTTTTTTTATGTGACGCTTTTATTGTGTAGAACATTTTAAGTATGTAAATGGATATATATACATATATGTATATTATACAAACATTTAAAGTGAACAAAAAGTTTATAATATACGAAATAAGTCTATTATAAGTTTGTTTTAATTACTTAAAAAGTTTTACAGGAACAAATAAGTATATACAAAATTAATTAATAAAACATTCAATCGTAAATAAACGTTATTAAAAAGAATAAAACCTATAAGAACAAATTTTTAATGATTAGTGTTACATACGTAGAATAAATTATTGAATAAAATACTGAATCGTAGGTAGGAAAATGGTTATCAAGAAAATAAAACCTATAAAAACAATTCTCAATGATCATTCGGTGTTATATGATAACATAAACGTGATTGGTGTGTACGCGGCATAAATTTATAACTTGATCATTGTTGACGCATAGCACCGCGAGAGTGCGCATTACTCAGTGAAAAAAATGGTGGTTATTTGGGTGTAGTCGGACGATTTTCTGCATCACAAATGTGAGTACCGGCTGACTAAGAAGTTACGAGTGCTGTTTGTCAGTGCGTCGCGAAGCTAATATGATCAGGTCGATATCAGAGGTAATGAAACAATCATATAATTGAACAAATATCTTATATATCCATACGAAACCGCTGATTCTAAGTAGATATTGTTGTTCACGCATCTCCGCATGACAAGTATACTTGCTTGTCTTCCCTATGTATTTTATCAGACAAAAATCATGGATAAATCGGTGACGTTCATAGAGAATGAAAAGATTCGAATTTATTCATAGGTCTCGAAGCTATTCGCCGCCAGACAATGTGTAAAATATGCACTGACGCGATATTTTTGGGATAGATGTCACATTATCTCTTTGGTGGTCTTGACTATATGCGCGCGTACGAATGTGTGCATTTATTTGATTTGCGGTATACGTGTGTAGTACTTCCTCTTCACCCCTTAATACGCATGTGTTCGGCATGCATTGTAACGGTGTGTCCGTGAGATACGTATATCACAGTATATACGTAAGACCTGCTACTTGCTATATACTGTCAACATTTTTCAAGTGACTGTTCCACGATGCTTGACAACATACTGCGATATTTAACGAAGTAAATTTTATTCCCCACCTGTTCATGTTCAATCTCTTTATTTCAACTTATTAATACTTCTCGCAGTTATTTCGTTGAACAAGTTTACGAAATCCATAAGTAATAATAAATACATAAGTGTTCGATTTATTAATAAATAACGAAATATTGTCTAGGCGATATATTTAGTATATCTAAAGCACTAATTCTGAGATCGGCTGTCCTCACATTTATTGGCAGTCGACATGATCAACATTAGACTATTGATGTTGTTAAATTTATATAATCCGTCTGGTATATAAAACTGTTTGCAAAGTAGGGATTATAGTGAAACCAGAAGGACTAATACACACATGCAATTCTGCCCTCTGTAAAATAGATTAATTCAAGCTTTATTGATAGAATTCTATTTCTATCACAAAATGTTCTTCTATGTAGTTCTAATTTTGTTTTTCATTCCTTTTTTAAATAAACAATTTACTTCGTTTGTAGTTTTTTGCATATTCGTTACTCGAATAATTTGTAAATTATTCGTGCATTTAACATATGGTATGATGTACATATATAATATAAAATTATTTTAATAAAATTATTAATTCGCATTTAATGCAAACACTGATAAATTATTACCATTATTTAAAATTACAATAAAATTGTAATGATAAACATAATGAGATAAGCATACATATTTATTAATATTTAAAGTATGTCATATAAAATATTTAAATAGAATGACGTAAAAAAGATGTTTGTTATATATGAGAAATATTAATTTTAAATTATTTTTTACTCACAATACATGTGTATTATTACTTTGAACCATTAATAATAAACGATATTTATAACTTATAAACAAAGTAAATGTATAGCTTGCTTGAAATAGTGAATTATTTTTTAATATATATAATATTGAATCAAAATATACTTTAAAATCATCAATCTATTTTGAAAACTTATGTTGAATTAAAAGTTAAAGATAAGTTAAAAGATAAATTAAATATTCATATAATATTCAATCAGAACTTCGAAATTAAAAAATTTGTCTCATTTTATAAAAAATAGGAATCATAATAAAGATATTATCACAGTAAAGATATTATTATAAACAAAATAAATTCTTCATTTATTTATGAAATTTTTGTCATTAATATTTTATTACTATTATTAGTTACTATTATTAATATCAATATTTTTTTTGTTTTCAGAATCATTTAACTTCTTTGGTATTAAATATTTATTAAGAAATTGAAGTAACAGAGTATATTTGGTAAAGAAAGGAGGAAAAGATCTGTGATGAATATAAGAACCACATACTCTGTGCACTTATATAAATGCATCCAGTATTTTATAATTTGAAAGATAAAGTTAATTAAAGCTACTGTTTTTCTAAAAATCTTTATCTAAATCAAACTGAGAGAGAAAATATATATATATATAAAAATTTATATATATATATAAATATATATGTACATATATATAAAATAGAAGACAAGGATTTTTATAAAGTGAATTCTTTCATACGTTGGTTATGTGCAATGCCGAGATGCTGCAATGAAAACAAGGCAGTGAGTTCGGTTGGCACTAGTCGGGAACATAATACGGAAGATATTTTGTTAACACAGAGTCGTTCTTTTACAATTGGAAATCAGTTGGAATTAGAGGAAGATCCACCAATTGTTGAGAAATCACACAGAAGAGTAAGGTGTGATCTAAGTCCAGTTCCAACAAGCACAAGTACTAATTTGAATATAAAGCTTTTAAGTATTAAGGTAAACTTCTCATAAATTAGTTTTAGATTTATATTTTATCTGTTTATATACATGCTGTTAATTTCACAAATTTATTACTGAACATTGTTAATATCTCTGTGCACACTTATTTATTATCACATTGAGGATTATAATACTAGTGTATTGATTACAGGCAGATAGAAATAGTCGTCAAGATCAAGTGGAGACTGGATCTGGTGGGTACAGAGAACGGAAGAAAGAAATTAAAAAGAGAGCAGCTATAGGCAATACAGTGCGTGGATTCCTCTCATCTGGCCACAGCAGGCAGGACAGGTATAATGATGTCTGTATCAAAATCATGCTTCTTACATTGTCATTTTTTATCTTCTGTCATTTAATTTCTTTGCTGTAATACATTCTTTGCTTTTCATTTAACTATACATGTTCAATATATATGTATATGTTTAATTTGGAATGCACTTTATAAAGATTGTTCTTTAATATACTATTTTACAGATTCCGTTTTCTAAATAATTATTCTATTACAATACATAATCTGAAATATGTCTCTAAGGAACAAAGTGTTTGTGTACCTCTAACTTTGAATTTTTGAATTACTGAATATAACAAACTATAATAATATATTAAATACTAAAACTACACATGCACAGGAATCTTTTGTATATCTCATCTGTACTGTACATGTACATATTGAAATTATTACAATCTTTAAGAAACATTACTTTAGAAAAATATATTAATTAAAATATTTTATGTGCTAAAATTAGTTGAAAAATTAGTGAATGCTGAAGTACTATAAAATCTAATCAAGAAATTTTTTCCACATGAAATTAGAAAATTTCATCAGGAAAAGTATAAAACCCAATATATTTTCAGAATTACTGACTCTGAACTTCAAGTATGAAATTTTATAGGTACTCAAAGGTTAGTAATTACATGATTTACATTATTGTCATACTGCAACATAGAACTATTCAATTATTATTTATTGTCATTTACACGTTCAAGAAAAAATAATAGTTTATCAACAACTATTGATTTAGTTTTTTGTTTTGGATTTTTATCATTATTATAGATTTGTGTATATCTTAAATTTATTTTTCGAACATTTTTCATACTTTTGCTTCCTTTAAGATTAAGTAGTACTTCAAACCATTATTCATAGCATTTCAATATTACATAATATAATGATTTCATAGCTGGCGTGTATGTACGAGTACATTTAGTACAGATGAGGCTAAACATTAATTTCTTAATTTAGATTTACTATTCTTCATAGTTATATAATAAAAGGTATTTGATTGCAAAATATATGTATGTGTGTAACATTTTTCAATTTTTATCATATTCATAAAACACAATGTAATACATGAAACATTTCATGATGACAAATATGACTTCAATTTGGTGTAATCATACTTTCTGCTATAGTTTGTATTTATATTTTGTATTACAAAATAAAAGTTTTCTACATACTTTGTATCTAAATTGAAATGCATATAATTATGTGATTTAAACGTAAAATTTGAACTTTGTCTCTTTTTATCAAAGAAAATAATATTTAAAAGAAGAATTTAACAAAAAGAAAAGGAAATATGGCATAATAATTATGTAGTATGTTTAATGATGTTTTAGGTATGAGACAAATAGACAACAATCTTCAGGGGGAAGTGGCCTGTCAAGTTTATGTCCAAAGCTGGTGGCCAGTGGAGGAGGCGGTAATCAGAGTGGGATT